AAGAGTCTTTGAAGGGGGATGTCATGATCCTTAATGAGGTAAAAGATAAATAATAATCATAAAAGCTAACACTTATCGAAGGTTTTTGTGCACCATAAAATGCCTTAATTTTTTCAGTATGCAAAGAGCCTATGAGTAAGTTACTATTTCATTCCTACTTTATGGATGAGGAAACTGAGGTACAGAAAAATTAAGTAACTTGCCTAGAGTCACACAACAGTAAATGTTGTGGTGGTGTAATTGAAACCTGGGCAGTGGGCGTCAGACTCGCACTCCAAAACTCCTGGTGGGTTCTGTCTCTTCCTCCTCCCCACCCTCTCTCTCTATTGGTTTTACCATACAAACTTCGTCCCATTTCTGGAAGAGGTGGATACCAGCCCCTCCTTGCATCCTACTCATTACTTTTAATGGCAAAAACTGCAATCACTTTTGCACCAACCAAATAGAAAGAAAAGCTTTCCATTATGTGCAGATGAAATGGTATCATTACTTGAAAGAAAGAGAGGTTCAAATTGAGAACCGGCACTGATATCTAATACTGTCAAAATGAAACAGGACCACAAAGCAATTACTTTAAAACAAGAGCCATCGCTTGTGGAAGATAGCCCCCTGTCTAGCTGGCTTTAAAAGTATAACCCTACACAGCATTGCCTCATTCAGACACCTACTCGGTTTTTAAAGAGTACATCAGACGACTGAACTATCCATGAGTGCTTTACTGAAAATTCACTTTGATGGCTTAAGTGAGCACTTTGGCATTGTCCCGTGTATGTTAGAATTATTGAGGCCGCCCATCACTCAATAGACACAAGGGGCCTTGCTCGCCCAACTGTCTGTGCTCTTGATTGAACCCAAAGCAGCTTCTGAAGGAGACTCTTGTTCTGGCTTTGGGGATTCCTGCCCCGCCCCTCCTGTGAAGAGGCAGAGTGACCTTCTCTTTAGACTGGTGCCTGAAGAGCCGAGCTCCGCCATGACAAAAGACGACCTCACTTGATTCTGCAACTCCAGCCAAGGAGAATGTCCTCAGGTTGACTGACACTTAATTCTTTTTTTTTTTTTTTTTTTTTTTTTGAGACAGAGTTTTGCTCTTGTCGCCCAGGCTGGCGTGCAATGGCAGAATTTCAGCTTACTGCAACCTCCACTTTCAGGGCTCAAGTGATTCTCCTGCCTCAGCCTCCCAAGTAGCTGGGATTACAGACGCTTGCAACCATGCCCAGCTAAATTTTGTATTTTTAGTAGAGGCAAGGTTTCACCATGTTGGCCAGGCTAGTCTCAAACTCCTGACCTCAGGTGATCCACCCATCTCGGCCTCCTAAAGTGCTGGGATTACAAGCATGAGCCACCACACCCGGCCAACTGCCACTTAATTCTTTTTTTTTTTTGAGACGGAGTCTGGCTCTGTCGCCCAGGCTGGAGTGCAGTGGCCGGATCTCAGCTCACTGCAAGCTCCGCCTCCCGGGTTTACGCCATTCTCCTGCCTCAGCCTCCCGAGTAGCTGGGACTACAGGCGCCGCCACCACGCCCGGCTAGTTTTTTGTATTTTTTTTTTTAGTAGAGACGGGGTTTCACCGTGTTAGCCAGGATGGTCTCGATCTCCTGACCTCGTGATCTGCCCGTCTCGGCCTCCCAAAGTGCTGGGATTACAGGCTTGAGCCACCGCGCCCGGCCTGCCACTTAATTCTTAACAAGACTTGGTTGAGAACAGTAAGTGTGGAGAATGCCTGATACGCTGTCCACCCATTTCCTGGACTAGAGGTTATACAGACATGCTGTTTCTAGCCCACAGGTGAGTTTTGTTTGACGCAGTGCTCGGAATATCCTGAAAATTTCCTGTGAGAATCCACCAATCTAGCTTCTATTGAAAAGATTCAGCAACACCAGCCCTGCATTCCTACAAAACAAAAATCAGCGCGGTTGAATTTGTAAAATGCTCACTGTGATGAAGGCTACCCTTTGCCACAGTCCCAGCCCAAATCACCAGTTACCCAAGGTACTTGAGTTTGCCACACCAGCCACATCGCTCTATACTCTATTCCCACCATAAGCCAGGCCAGCAGAGCTGCGCATGTGGACAGCAGCCTTTTGCACACATACCTCAGCCACCATCACCACCAGCTCCTCTCCACTGGACTGAGCTTGTGTTCTGCCATCTCTTCACATGAAGGGGGTTTCAACAAGGCCCACCTGTCCCCCTGAAAGCCGTGTTTATGGTACAAATGCTGATGAGGATGTACACATCTCACACCACCAGGGATGAATGTGCTCATCCCAAGCACACTGGCAGCAGTCTTAGGGACCCTGTGAACACGTAACTGAGTGTTTCTCATACTGCCTGCTCCAGAACTTCAGAGCCAAATTCCTGTGCCGCCTCCAGTCAGTGCAGACAAACGGTCTTGTGGTTTTTTATATTAACCTCACTGGTGGCTCTAACTGACCTTTTCTTCCTTTGTTTTCTCTGCCCCCATGTCTTTGCTAAATTTTTTGTTTTAATTGTTTATTATAAAATACATATGATATAAAATGTATCATCTAACCATGTTAAGTGTATACAGTTCAGGGCTATTAAGTACATTCACATTGTGAGTTGTGCAACCATTGCTGCCGTCCATCTCCAGAACATTTTCACATCTCGCAATACTGAAACATTACTCCCATTAAACACTAACTGCCCATTCCCTCCTCCCTTCGTCCCTGGCAACTATTATTCTACTTTCCATCTCGGGGTTTGACAACTGTAAGTACCTCATCTAAGTGAAATGATGCAATATTTGTTCTGTTGTGGCTGGCTTATTCCACTTAGCATAATGTCTTCAACATTCATTTATGTTGTAGCACGTATCCAAATTTCCATCCTCTTTTTAAATTTAATTTTTTTGAGACATCTGTCACTCAGGTTGGAGTGCAGTGGTAGAATCTTGGCTCACTGAAGCCTCGGCCTCCTGGGCTCAAGCAATCCTCCCACCTCAGCCTCCTAAGTAGCTGGGACTTCAGGTGATACCACTATGCCCCCAGTTGATTTCTTTTTTAAAAATTGTTTGTAGAGATGGGGGTCTCACTGTGTTGCCTAGGCTGGTCTCAAACTCCTGGGCTCAAGAGTGATCCTCCCGCCTCAGCCTCCCTAAGTGCTGGGTTTAAAGGCATGAGCCACCACTCCCAAATTTTCTTCATTTTTAATGCTGAATAATATTCCACTGTACATATACACTAGGTTTGTCGATCCATTCATCCATTGATAGACATTTGGGTTGCTTGCACCTTTTGGTTATTGTGAATAATGCTGCCATGAACATAGGTATAAACGTAGGTGAAAGCTGTACAAGTCCCTGCTTTCAATTATTTGGAGTACATAGCCAGAAGCAGAGTCGCTGGATCTCTTGGTGATTGTATGTTTAACTTCTTGAGGAAACTCCATATTATTTGCCACAGCATCCACACCATTTTACATTCCCAACAGCAGTGCACAAGAGTTCCAACTTCTCCCTGGCCTTGCCAACACTTATTATTTTCTGTTTGTTTGTTGTTGTTTATAATAGCCATCCTAATGGCTGTGAAATGATTTGCCTATTTTTGAAAGTAATTTTTCATAAGTAGTATTTCCATAAGTCAACTAAGTCATTTCCGGAACAAGGTAGAAGTATAAATCAATCAATTCCCCTGGTCTAATTAGGCGAAATTATTTGTAAAATATTCCTTGTTGTCATTGTATCCTCACTGCCATTTCTGTATATGTGTATATATATACACACACACACACGTATAAACATACACATACATAATATATATTAATATTTATAAACATTTTATACATACACACACAAAAGAATCCTTGGAACCAAACTGGCCAGAATTTGAGTCGTGCCTCTACCATTAACTCTACCAGTTATACTCCTTAGAAAAATTATGTGATTATCAGAGATTCAGTCACCTCATTCATAAAAGGACCTTGCAGCATTATGGTAAGTTCTGAAGACAAAGTACATAAAATAACAACCACAGCACCAACACACACGGGACACTCACATGTAGCAATTATTGTTAGTCCACGCCTGGCGCACTACTGAGTGTTTCTACGTATCTTAGGCCACGAATTCCTTACATTAACAAAGATAGGTGAGAAATTGAGAGAGGTTAAGTAACTTGCCCTGGTGGCTGAGCAGTAATTTGAAACCAGGTCTGTCTGACTCCAAAATGTGAGCTCCTTCCCTACACCAAACTGCCTTTCATCCACACCACACTTCTCTACAGAAGCTTGGGAAGGATGGAAGGGAAGAATATGCATATATGCGAATGCCCATATATATTTGGAAAAGGTTGGAATGTGCCCACGAGAGGTACATGCAAAGCCCTGCCTAATATTTCAGGGAGTGGCAGGAGCAAGCTAAGCTTCATTCACAGGTAAACAGGATAGAGGAACTTGACAGAATGTCTTTCAACCTAAGATTCTGGTAGTGAAAAGGAATCTCTTACACCCCATTCCTTTCTCCAAATACCTTCAAGAAGATCTTTGGGATATTTTTGACTCCCCGCTGAGTCCCTTCCTACTAACTGCCAAAGCTGTCACTCACACTGCAGATATACTTCTTATCTTCCCTGATAGGATCACTGTGCCACTCCCTGAAGGAAATAAAATAATTGTCCACCAATGCCTCTCCCCAGAAGGGCCTCTCACTGCAGGAAGTGTCAGGCCCTGGCTTCACCCACAGCTTCGCTAGGGCTTAGATGGCTGGCATTCCTCACTGATAATTATTAGTGCTGGATAAAGCTGAATGCAAAAGCAAGCCCTGGGTAGGGGGTGGGGGGGTACAGGGAGATAAAATTCTCTATCCTATTCCATTTCATACCTTAAAAGGCAAAGGAAAAAACCCACCAATATTCTTTTAAAGGCATCTACTTCTCTTTTCCTTAAGCATCTAGGTTTGTTTCAGGTGTTTTTAAACAAACATTGAGCTCCTTTGGTACCAAAAACGCAGGTGCACTGAGCATAGGTTTTAGTTTATTACCTGGAAATCAATAAGAGTGACCTCCCACAGGCTCGACCCATCATCCGTGTCGCTGGGCAGCAAGAGGGCCTGGTCCCGCGGCAGGTTGCCCACGCGTTGGCAGCGGTAGGAGTAACCGGAGGGAGCATATATGCCAGTTGGGTTAAAGACTGCTTGGATAGAATTGTTGGAAACGATCTCGACTCGGCGCAAACTAAACCAGCTCTGGATGGACAACTTGTTGTAATTGGTAAGGATGAATCTGAAAATGGTTATAAAATCAGCATTATCCTAAAGAACTTTTCCCACATTACCGACGCAAGGCATCGTCTATGAACAGTACAATGGCGCCCTCTTTTGTCAGGCGGCAGAACCGTCTTGGGGAGAGGCTTCACTTTTGTTGCAGAGCCTCCCCTGGATGGATGGGAAAGAGAAAGTGACAGGGCAGCCCCCAAAGTGGGCAGTGCAAATTCCTACGAAAGAAAAAAACACAGGGTTTTGGTTTGTTTTGTTTTGTTTTTGCTTTTTTAGAATCAACACTTGATTATGGGTTTATTCATAAAAAAATTTGAGAAAAACTTAAATGGACATCAATGAAGAATTTGCTAAATTGTGGTTTTAAATAATGGTAATAGCTCTCTTGATAGCTTCTGTGTTAGGTATGTGTATTGTGTTTAACCTGCACTACAACACTATGTGATAGATAATATCCTTATTCTAATTTCACAGGCAAGGAATCTAAAACACAAAGGGCTTGAATAAGCTCACTCAGAGAGTAAGTGTCAGAGCTGGGCTTCAAATCCAATCTTAACTCTTTCAGAATGGACTGTTTTCCAGCCATGAAAAAAGTCATAATTTACTTGTCATTATCATTTTATTTCAATTTTTAAAAAAATATGTGACTGCATAGAAAAAAATGTCTGGAAGGATAGAGATTAAAACATTAGTAGTGATTGAAAATGGTGTTTAGATTATTGATGATTTTCATTTTCTTCTTTCTGTAGCTCAATATTTTCTGATTTTTCTGTTTTCATTAGTTTTTCTTGTCTCTGTTTGGCTCCTTTGCAAGAAGACCCTAAGACAAGGGTGTGAATATAAGAAATATTCAGAGGAGTTCAGTCATTCAAAATACATAAAATGGAGAGAAAAGAAACGACAGAGGAAGGGAAGGCAGCTAAAAGAGGCACATTATTAAGCAAGTGTCCAATGTGGACAAGCAGGGCTTCATTGCCGTGATGGAAGCTGGGAGCCAGAGTACAGCACATGCTGCTGAGTTATCTCACCTGATGGGGAGGGAGCTGAGGCGTGTGTATGTTTCCTCCAGTCATTGGGCCAGGGACTGGGGACAGTGGGCCAGAGAAAGCTTTTAGGCAAAGAGAGGCTGGGAGTTGAAAGTTCAGCAGGTAGGCTACAGGGCTCTCAAATGGAAAGGACCATGTAGATATTCATGGGGTACTGACAGTTTCTGCTACATACCTTTATCATAAGAATAAATAATAATAACAACAATAATAATAAAGCTATTTTTCATTTTGGAAAAAAGTAGAATTACAGACCAAAAATATTCTCCATTTCTAGATCAGACAGATATGTGTGTTTGGTCACCTTGTGGGGTTCTATTTACTTGTAAAGTTGCTCTGAAAGATGATGGCACATGTTTTCTAAATTATGATCAGTGACACACTAGTCTCCCATGATATGTAGACAAGTGTCCTGAGGAAGAAGGCTCTCCAAAGTTAAACACAGGAAACACTGAGTTAGTCAAAGTTACAAAGTGCAATAGTCTTCCTTAAGATTATTTCTTCTCAGAAACTTTAACATACAAGTTTACACTGTGAATTGCCAAGAGCAAGACATGGTTTAGAGTCGTTCCCAGACACATTTGACCACAGAACCCCCTTTTCATAAAATCTTATAAATATTCTTACAGAGCAGAAGTGTCCCACAGAGCAAACTTAAGAAAGACTGCCCTAGCACAATCCTGCTGCTTTTCCAAATAATGTTAAAGACACAACTACTTATCTCCACTAACAAGTTCGTCTTATAGGAAGGGAAGCACTGTATTTTTATAAGAAAAAAAATAATAATGCCTTCAAATTGTTCCCCCCACCTCAGGAGCAGTTCCTAACTGCTTGGCTAAAGTCACTGTTGGCAGATGCATCCTTTCATACCTAAACACCAAAAAACTGTAGGCCTCTGTTGATTGTCTGCTGGGGAACGCACATAACGAGGCTTTTTCATTGTAGTTAAATGGTAAAGTGTGATTCATTATAAGAAGCTATAGAAAATAGTTTCAAACCAGAGCCCCAGTCCTTAGAGCTTTATTTCTATTTTCTTCTTTTCTCAGATGAAAAGGATATTACATTCTCAGGACTGGGAGTTTTCTAAGTCCCTAATGCAGGCGGCATGGGGGGTGGGGGAGAGGGAAGAACTATGGGTATTTTGGTAGAAACTTTTAGAAAGAAAGCATTAGTATAGGATCCCATCATATCACAGCACCAACTTTTCAGTGTAATTAGGTTGATGTGGCATGCAATGTGTCACAGTGCTTGGGCATATAGCAAGCCCCTGCTTCACACATGTGGAATGAATACATTTTAGAGAGCTAATCTGAAGTGCAGAAGCTGCGATGCTCTAAAGTGCTGTCCTACCTACCTTATAGCAAGACCTCTGGGGTTTCCAGCATCACCAAGCTTCAAAGACAACCTAAGAAAAGGAAACAACACAGTCTATGAAAATAAGAATAACCCTAACTTCATATCTACTCAAAAGTTACCTCAAGGTGGGTCACGTAACACCTAACACACAAAATGTATAGAACATTTTTTTAATCTTGAGGTAGGCAATGGTTTCCTGAAAAAAATACAAAAGCATAAACCATAAAAGAAACAACTGATAAATTGCATTTTACTAAAATCCAAAATTTTTACTCTTCAAAAGACACTGTTTAAGAAAACAAGAAAGGCAAGCCACACAACAGGAGAAAATACTCACAACACATATACATAAAGACCTTTATCCAGAATACAATAAATAACACTAACAACTCAACAAAAAGACTGCCCAATGTAAAAATCGCAAAAATTGTCAGAAGACTCGAGCATGTTTTAAAGGAAGATATACAAATGGTCAATAAGTACATGAAAAGATGCTCAGGACCATTAGACATTCAGGGAATGTAAAATAAAACCACAATAAAGATAACACAGTTCAGGAATCAGAATGGCTAAAACATTTTTTAAACTGACTCTTAAGCTTTTAATAACTACATTTATTCCTATTTTCCTGAGAGTAAACATACGATTTCCCAGAGCAAAGACAGATGAATTATGACTTACTCATGGGAACAACCATAGTGGTTCCCCCTTCTAATCCAATTCTCCCCCACTAGGCAGCATGAGAAGAGCCAGATGTCATCCTACACACATTGGGATTTGCAATACAGATGAGGAACACCAAAATTATCCATCTGGAAGTTTACATAGGAGAGAGACCGTGGATCCCTTCTCACCTCCCGAGAGAGGGAGAGAAACATTTGCTCCCCTAGTGTCAATAAATTCTCCTTAGGAAGAGAAGACGGATGATTAGTCTTTGAGTGAAAGAGTTTAATTAGCCTTTGGATGGAAGCAAATCGCTCATCATAAGGAGACAAATGGTTGCAGGTCTCATATCCGTGGTATGTAAATAAATATCTCCAAGGGGAGGATAAGATAAGCCTCTCTGAGTTTCTAACCCCTGGAATGTCTCTACGGCCTTGAGTTTCATTACCCCTTGATACATGAACACATTACTTTCAAGAGGTAAAAACTCTAACACTTATCTTTTCACCCAGTTCCCAGTAAAAATTTGTTCAGAAATTCCTAAACATGCAGAAATATAAAAATGCCTTCTCTAGTCTCACTCTGACCATACGAAGTGTTAGTGGGAATGGGAAGCAACTGGAACTCTCATACGATGCTGGTAAAAAGGAAAAGATGTGGCCACTTAAAAAACAGTTTGGCTGTTTTCTAAAAAGGTAAACATACACACACCATATGATCCAGGCATTCTACTCCTAGTTGGAATGACAGATAAGAGAGATGAAAACACCCGCTGCCACAAAGACTTGTACATGAATGTTCATACTGACTTTAGTGGGAAAGTTATGCAAAAAGTGAGGGGAAAAAACAAATTTCTATCAACAGGTGAACAGATAAGTTGTGGTACATCTATAATATGGACTACTACTCAGCAATGAAAAGGGAAATACCATTAACACATGCAATAACATGGAAGATTATCAAAATCATTAAGCTAAGTGACAGTGGCTACACTAAAAAAGAGTACACACGTAATTATATTTATACAAAATTCTAGAATGTGCAAACTAATTGATAATGATAGCAGATCAGCGGTTATCTGGAGATATGACAGTGGTTGGAAAGATGCATTACTAAGAAACACATAGAAACTTTGGGGCATGATGAAAATGTTTGTTACCTTTTTTTGTTTTTTGAGATAGGGTCTTGTTTTGTCACACAGGCTCAGGGGCAGTGGCATGATTTCCACTCACTGCACCCTCCAACTCCCAGGCTCAAGCAATCCTCCCTCCTCAGCTTCCTGTGTAGCTGGGACTACAGGCATGCACCACCACACCTGGCTAATTTTTGTATCTTTGGTAAAGACAGGGTTCATCATGTTGGCCAGGCTGGTCCCTAACTCCTAATCTCAGGTGATCTGCCCATCTTGGCCTCCCAAAGTACTGGGATTACAGGTGTGAGCCACCGTGCCCAGCCACGAGGATCTTTAAGTATCAGGTACTGTGCCATCAATTGGGAACACAAAGGAGAAATACAACCTGGAACAAGAGCTGTTCAAAAAGGAGCTCTTTTTACTCTTTCAAGCGCTCTACTCTCACACATGTAAAATGGATTCTGAATCCTTCAGGCTGTAATTGCCTAAATTCCAAATATACACAGATGCTGGGATTATGCTCTATTTGCAGGGCTTTCACTATTTAAAAAGACTTCCGTAGTGAATCCATCTGCCAATAATTTGCCTCTCTCTGAATATTTTGTTTCCAAGAGCTAAAACGTGGTCATCTTTTTTTAATCTGTGCTTTTGACCTTACATGGTTATGTCTTTGTTTCGGTTTGTTGTTTCAGCAACTCCCATTCTGCTTCTTGAGATCTTAAGATTTCCTTGCCAGCACAAGGACATCTGGCTCATCCATGGAATTCACAGGAATCAGCCACTAGGTCTCAGCAGCTGGTCCTTGACACCTCCCTTCCTGGAAGGCTCCTGTTGCCCCTCTTTGGGCAGGCTGTCCAGGATGCCTGCACACTCATCTGTGCAGGACTCCAGCAGGTGGACGCTGCACACTCAGGGCTCACACCTGAACAGAATTCCAAGGCAGTGTCCAAAAAGACAGTCAGGTTCTGCCCAATCTTTAATTTGTGTCCTGTGAGACCCAAAGCTTACTGAAGAAATTTAGACACTGTTTCACTCTAGTTATCACTGGGATGCCAGGAAGGAAAAGAGTGCTACTGCTATTAATACTCTGAACAGCACTCAACAAGATCTCAAAGTGCTTATGCATCTATTTCCTCATGTGTTTTCCACAACCTTGTAAGATAGGGCCAAGAGGAAGAAGGTAAATGGTCATTTTTAAAGATGTTTTAAAGCCCAGCTCTATGAACATACATACTCCATGACTTTAGCAAGTTTTCTAACCTCTGTCAAGATAACTGCCTGTGACTCCAAGAGTTACTGTGAGGAATAACAGACATGGGCCTATGAAGACCTCACACTGTGCCTGGCCCACAGTAAATGCTCAAGGCCTCATAGCGATAATGAATAAATGCCATCATCTCCATTTGACAGATGATGATCCTGTACATCCTGCCTATAAAATCACAAAGCTCTCTGGTAGAACTGGGCCTAGAGGCCAAGTTTTCATTCTTTCTGTCTCTAGGTTCCCAGTAATCACAAGGTCTCTAAAACCCAGCAAAAAAAAAAAAAAAAAAAAACTGTAGGTGGCCAGGCGCAGCAGCTCACGCCTGTAATCCCAGCATTTTGGGAGAACGCAAGGTGGGCAGATCACTTGAGGTCAGGAGTTCGAGACCAGCATGGCCAACATGGTGAAACCCTGTCTGTCTCTATTAAAAATACAAACAACTAGTCAGGCGTGGTGGCACCTGCCTGTAATCCCAGCTACTCGGGAGGCAGAGGCAGGAGAATCACTTGAACCCGGGAGGCAGAGGTTGCAGTGAGTTGAGATCGTGCCATTGCACTCCAGCTTGGGCAACAAGTGAAACTCTGTCTTTAAAAAAATAATAAAATAAAATAAAATAAAATAAAATAAAATAAAAAACAACTATAGGACCCTGATTTTCTCCCACAAATGCACTAGGGTCAGGATAAATGGAATCAAGGAGAGCCAGTCAGCCATAGACAGCCAAGATTATCCCCCAAGCAGGCAGCCTCTCTCTGTGCAACTGACCACAAATAAAGAGCCCTGTGGGGAATTAATTAGCACCCCAGGAAAAGGTCCTGAGCTCTCAGCATCCCATAGTCTCTTTGATAGTCTTGGATAGTTGAGCTATAACAGGATAAACAAATCTGAGAGGACTCTAGATGCTTCCACTTACAATTCCCTAAATCCCTAATAAAAGATAGTCGTTCTGAACAGCAAGATACTCAGATTTGTAATATGACTTTTAATTGTATATTAATAGAATCCATTTTTACCCATCACCAAGAATTTTTAAGTGGGAAGTAAAGTTCAGGAATAAAAGGATGTTTCCAGCCAAAGTACATAAAGTAGAAAAAGAATACACACACACGCGCACACAGTTATGCTTTATATAAAGCACCCTACCCATCTAAACCAAACCAGAACAAATGCAGAGAATCTTCCTAACGGATCTATTTTACCAACAAATGTTGAAAAGAAGGTTTATAGAAAGCAAGCAGGACATGCCAGATTTCCTCTCCCTGGACCAAAATAAATAAAAACAAACATTTTTGCTTGGATGACTGAAAAGCAGAAAAAGGCATTGGAAATTGATTTGCCCTTCAAACATGTTATTTGTTTAATCTGCTTATCTCAAATCAAAACTAATTATTTCAATCATTTTGAAATGTCCCAAAGAATTATCTGGAATTTAGCCATTGAAAAGTGCCCTGCACATTTGCAAACAGGCAATATTCCACTATTTCAGCACACTGACACCCCCCCACCCCACACCTCCACAGAGTCAAGCATTTGTCCTGGCTAGTGTGTCACCCACTAGAATGTATATGACCCTGCTGGGATACGTGATCTCTTCCCTGATAGGATACAATTAGTTTAACACCTATCATTTGGAGTTGAGACCAAGCCTGGAATCCTTTGCTGTTTTCAAAATGAGTTTGAGAACCCTCGCTTTCCAAAGTCTAATTTTCTACAAGTTATTCTGACAATTAGCAAAAAGGTTCAGCAGAAAACTGCCAGGAAAATATAACTTTTTTTTTTTTTTTTTTGACCGAGTCTCACTCTGTCGCCCAGGCTGGAGTGCAATGATGGGATCTCAGCTCACCGCAACCTCTGCCTCCCAGGTTCAAGCAATTCTCCTGCCTCAGCCTCCTGAGTAGATGGGATTACAGGCACCTGCCACCATGCCCGGCTAATTTTTGTATTTTTGTAGAGACGAGGTTTCACCCTGTTGGCCAGGCAGGTCTTGAACTCCTGATCTCAGGTGATCCACCCCCTCAGCCTCCCAAAGTGCTGGGATTACAGGCGTGAGCCACCATGCCCAGCCAACAATTTTTGAAGTTAACTTCTGACTTGTTCCTTTATTTTAGACAGTAAATACTTTCTCAAAGATGTGTGTCAGGGTCCTATAAAAAGGAGCCTACTTTTTTTTTTCTGAAATGACAAAAAAATTGAATGCGGAGTTAACAATGCAATAGCCCTAAGGGCTTCCTCAAACTGAGAGATCAACATACCTAGCACTTTCTTCAGTGCAATTTGAGTTGTCAAGGTCCACTGTTACCTTCTGACCAAATGCCTCATCTGTAAGGTCCAGCCAGGTTTGATTCTTAAATTTAATCGTGATTCTTTTGGCCCAGAAGAGAATGCAAGGAATTCCATCGATGGAGACATTAACTGGGCCATGATGGCTGAATGCATTCCAAGATTCTTTTTCTAAATGCCCTTCTTTGCTCAGATTGTAGTCGAGAGCCTAATTAACCAAATATAAAGAACGTAAGAGATGAACTTGTGTCTATGGTGCAAAAGGCTTCCTAGAAATGAAAGAGCTAATTCATATCCCATAATGGTAAATACATGTCATTATACATTTATTAAAACCCATAAAATGTACAATACAAAGAAAGAAATTTACACCAACTACTCTAGTGTAAATACAGATAAAAGAAAAATTAGTTAATAGAGAGCTGCAACTTATGCTTACCAGTAACCAAAGATTATTATTATTATAGCAACAGAAGTGAAGCTGAATATTGTAATGAAAATATAAGAGAGCAAGTAAAATGAAGTATTTTAGGTTTCTCTCAACTGTAAGATTCTATAATAAACAAAAAACCAAATACCACATGTTCTCACTTATAAGTAGGAGCTAAGCATTGAGTACACGTGGACATAAATATGCAAACCATCCACACTGTGGATGACTGGAGAGTGGAGGGAGTGGAGTGGGTTAAAAAACTACCTATCGGATACTATGCTCACTATCAGGGTGATGTGATTCATACCACAAACCCCAGCATCATGCACTATTCCCTTGTAACAAATCTGCACATGGACCCTCTGTATCCAAAATAAAAGTTGACTTTTAAAAAGAAGAGATTCTAGCCAGGCGCGGTGGCTCATGCCTGTAATCCCAGTATTTTGGGAGGCCGAGGCGGGTGGATCACAAGGTCAGGAGATCAAGACCATCCTGGCTAACACGGTGAAACCCCATCTCTACTAAAAATACAAAAAAATTGCTGGGCGTGGTGGTGGGTGCCTTGTAGTCCCAGCTACTTGGGAGGCTGAGGCAGAAGAGTGGTGTGAATCTGGGAGGTGGAGCTTGCAGTGAGCCGAGATCGCACCACTGCACTCCAGCCTGGGCAACAGAGTGAGACTCTGTCTCAAAAAAGTAAATAAATAAAATTTTAAAAGTAAAATAAAAATAAAAAGAAGAGATTCCATAATACATTTCCCCACCCCAATTTGAAGCAAACATATGTTACTTATTAATACAATTATAATTTATATTTTCACAGGAGCACAGACATGATTGAAACGTGTTTTTCAGTTTTTTAGAGCTAGATTACAATCTGGTTTCCTGGCATAGCCATACCTGTGTGATTGGTATTGTTGTGAAATTCTGGACTGGTTTCGTACCTCCATTATTCTGATCTGTAAAATAAATAATGATGTGGTTACCAATGCTAAATGTCCTTTATTTATTAATGTAATTGGGTGGCAATAATATGCTAAGCACTGTCACATATATCAAGCTTGAGCCCCTTCTGGCTCATCGTTTAGAACACACTACTGTAAGATTTCACATGAGTGACTCCTGGTACAGACACCATTGGTCAGGGAATTCTATCACAGAAAGAGCCCTTCCCCACCCCACATGGAATCATGTGGGCAACTGGAGTCTTACCATTCTTCATAACCACTTCTTTATCTGAAGATGTTGGAGAACTGAAATTAGAAAAAAACAAAAAAATTAAAAGATGCTGAATAAATATCTAAAATTCAGATGTTATATGAAATTTTAAGAAGTATATTTCACTTTATTACATCTCAGAATAGAGCAGAAACAGCCTGCCAAAACTGTTCATTTCTTAATAGTGAATTTCTCATTTAAAAAGTAGTATGTCTCTCCCCTGTTGTCTCTGCATTTAACAGAGAGAGAGAGAAAGTAACATATGTTCTTCAAAAAACAAATATGGAAAATAAAGAAAAATTTTAGAAAGAAAAATTATTTTACTGTATTTTATTTTATTTCAGATGGAGTCTCACTCTGTCGCCCAAGCTGGAGTCCAGTGGTGTGATCTCGGCTCCCTGCTACCTCTGCCTCCTGGGTTCAAGTGATTCTCCTGCCTCAGCCTCCTGAGTAGCTGGGATTACAGGTGTACCACCACACCCTATTAATTCTTGTATTTTTAGTAGAGATGAGGTTTCACCATGTTGGCCAGGCTGCTCTTGAACTCCTACCTCAGGTGATCCACCCACCTCGGCCTCCCCAAGTGCTGCGATTACAGGTGTGAGCCACCATGCCCAGCCAGAAAAATTATTTTAAATCAAACCTGATTCTTATTCATTGAATAACATTGCGGGCAGGGGGGCCTACTATGTGCCAAGCAGTGTGCTACACCCTAAGGTTTAACCAATAACAAATACAAAATAACCAAATAATAAAGCATATAAAACATTTTACCGTGAAATTTCATACTCCATTGCATTGTTAACATATCAAAGCCAAAACATCCAACAGAAAACAAGACAGACTCAATTACCAAAAGTTATACTGGAAACTTATGAGCATATAAATTATGATATATATCCTTGTGTTTGTATGTGTATATATATCCTCTCTATATGCATACAAACAAACAAACACACACCACATATGTATATAATTTACTTTTCACAAAGTTTAAAAATGGATTTTTCTGGACATACTGTTTTAGAGTTTGCAATGTTTTTTTAAACTATATCACAAATATTTTCCATGTAATTATATACTTTTGACACATTTTTAATGTCATGTGGTATTATATCATAGAAATGTTATCATAATGTATTTAACCAAATTTCTACTTTTAAGTATTTGTTTTCAATTTTATTAGCACTATAACAATACTGCATTGAACATTTCTGTGGATTGTTTGTTCACACCCATGAGAAGTTCCTTAAGATAAATTCCTTGAAGTGAAATTTCTAAGTGAGAAGATATACACATTTTTCATTACAGGATATTTCAGACATATACAAATATAAACAGAAAAATATAATAAGCCCTCATGTACCTGGACCCATCATTCAGCTTTAGTAATTATCAGGTTATAACCAATCTTGTTTCACCTACAAGCTCACCCTCTTCCCCCATGTGATAGTAGTTTGAATAAAATATCAAAAATTATGTCATTTCAGTATATATCTCTAAAAGAAAAGAACTTTTAAAAATAACAGCACAATTACATCTAGAAAATACTGATAATTATTTAACATAAAAGTAGTGTTTAAATCTCCAGTTTTGTCATAAACGTCCTAAAGATTTAACAGTTTGTTTATTGCATATTTTAAGTTTTCCATAAGTTTTACCTACAGTATATGAGAATGTAAATCAAACTCTAAACAATTCCAATCTAAGGTCTCTATATATCGCTATCATATAAACTCAACATTTTTATAATTAGAGAAAGATATATATTACATGATATATATGCAAAACATAATTGTAGCTGAAGAGTTACTAAATCTATATCATAATAAAGTGCTTTAGAATTAACTATATGGACCCAATTACAAATTAAATGCACCATTCTTCCTGTAATATGATCCCGATTATCTAATGAGAATTTCTGAAGATGACAAATTGGTGACCATGCTGTCTACTAGTTGCTGTTCATAAATGTATGCATGCATGCAATTCATTAATTTTTATCAACTTTATTGAGGTATATAATTTATGTACAGTAAATTGCATTCATGAAAATTATACAATTATATGAGTTTTGGCATAGGCACATACCCATGACCCCACTGCCACAATAACAATACAGAATGTTTGTAACACCCAAAAAAGTTTCCACTTGCATTTTTGCAGCTAAGAGTTGTTCCCTCCACCCTCAACCCGAGAAAACTACAGACTTGCTTCTGTCACTTTAGATTCGTTAGCATTTTCTTTTTTCTTTTTTGAGATGGAGTTTCACTCTTGCCACCCAGGCTGGAGTGCAATGGCGTGATCTCAGTTCACCACAACCTCCACCTCCTGGGTTCAAGCGATTATCCTGCCTCAGCCTCCCAAGTAGCTGGGATTACAGGCATGCACCACCACACGCGGCTAATTTTGTATTTTTAGTAGAGACAGAGTTTCTCTATGTTGGTAAGGCTGGTCTCGAACTCCCGACCTCAGGTGATCTGCCCATTCGGCCTCCCAAAATGCTGGGATTACAGGCGTGAACCACCGCACCCCGCCTAGTTAGCATTTTCTACAATTGCGTATAAATGGAATCATACATATTCCTTAGCATTTGGCTTCTTTCCGTCTTATCATAATGACTTTGAAATTCATGTACGTGGTTGCATATGTCAGTAGTTCATTCTGTTTTCGTGTTAAGAAATATTTCATTGTATGGATATGCCATACTTTGTCTATGCACACATTCATGAATATGTGGGGTGATTCTGGTTTGGAGCTACTACAAAGATTTAAGAACATTAATGTATAGGAGTTTGTGTGAATATGTTTTTGTTTCTCTTAAATAAATAGCCAGGAATGGAATGACCAAGTCACATAATAGAAGTAACTTTTTAGAAAAGCTGCCAGTCAATTTTGGCTTCCCTGTTGTTCAACGTTCTTGCTAACATTTCGTATCATCAATCTGTTTAATTTTAACCATTCCAATGGGTGTGGGTTGCTAGCTCAGTTTAATTTTAATATGCATTTCCCTGGTGATTAATGATGCCCCGCATTTTTTCTTATGCCTATAGAGCATTCATATAGTTTCTTTTGTGAAGTGTGCTTAAATCTTTTGCTCACTTTAAAAATTAAATTCATTGACCTCCATAAGCGCTCTTTATATGTGCTGGATGCAAGTCCTGTGTCTGATATACACACCGGAAATATTTTCTTGCATTCTGTCTTCCTTTTTCATTTTAATGGTGGTTTTCAAAGAGCAAAAGTTCTAATTTTCATAAAGTCCAATGTAATCTTTTTATCTGTTATAGCCTATGTTTTTATTTCTAAAAGAAATATTTGCCCAACAAGGTCACCAAGATTTTCCGCTTGTGCTTCTCCTAGAAGTTTTCAAATTTTAACTTTTACACTTAGGTCCATTTTGAGTTGATTTTTGTGAGTTAAGGTACTTGCATCATTTTGGAGCTAAGGATAAAGAAAATGTCCTATTAAGCTTGCAGAAGTAAAAAACAAGAATCATGCAAGAATTCAGCCAATGCATCCCTCTCACCCCTTCACAGAAGCTAATGGAGGACACGCTCCCACAACATAAGGGCAAAAGTCAACAAAGAGAAAGCACAGGCTCTCATAAACAGCAGATCTCACTAGAAGAGTAGTGAAGCGAAACTAAGACTAACCATTGTACATCAGACATAGAATCAGTCCAGACTGGAGCAAGAGGACAATAAAAGGAAGACATACAGAGAGATCTCTAAGTGAAAGGGGAATTTGAGAGACCACTGCATATTGGAGGAAAGAACATGTGAAAAGAATTAAGACTATGCATGTTTTGAAATTGCAACTACAAAAAGGCCATTTTTAACTCAAGGGAAAAAGAAAAGTTATTCAAAAAAAAAAAAGAAAGAAACAAAATACAGTCTACTAGCTGGCTTGTCTGTGAACAATATACATAGTCATTTTGATGCAAGCACTGATGAACTGAAAGTAGTAATGTAACTATATTGAATGGGGGGAGTGAAGGAAAGAAAGATGAGGACATTGTTGGAGACAGGAACTTTGTCAATAATAAAGGAACTTGTTATAAAATCTAACATGTATAAATGGAGAAATCATCTATGCATATTATTTTGATACTATGGCAGTACAGTGAATTGTATGATTGTTACCAAGTCTTTGTTTCCTTCTCTGGGAGAGGATTTTGCATCCCCCTAGGCCATATGACTTGCAGTTCCTCCCTGTGGGTGGAAAATGCTTCCTGCCCCATCATTAGGCTTGGACACTATATGGACAGGAGACAGGGAAATACTGGATAGAAGAGGGCAGTTCCTGGCAAAGGCCCCACCCTTAAGCCTGGAAACCCATGGCCCTAAATGGGAACAAGCTTTCCTGTTTCTGTGCCCAAATGTTGCCTTTTGGCCCACCAGGGCCCCCTATCCAGTACCCATATAAACCCCAAACCCCAGGTTCCACAAGCAGATGAGCAGATGAACAGGTGAACAGAAGAGCAGCAGAACAGCATGACAGAGAAGGAGAGACAAGAAGGAGTGTCTAAACATCTAGAGGAGTTTGGCTGGGGACAGTCAGAGAGGAGATTGGCTGCTGGACAGCCACACTCCAGGGGAAGATCATCTCCCACTCCATCCCCCTTCCAGCTCCCCATCCCTCCTACTGAGAGCCACCTCCACCACTCAATATAACCCCCACATTCACCATCTGTCGAGCCCTTGTGTAACCTGATTCTTCCTGGATGCCAAACAAAAACCTGGGGTCCAAGAGGGCACTAAACTGGTTAACACTTAAGCCGTCTGCAGATGGCAGAGCTAAAAGAGCACTGTAACACACCCACTGGGGCTTTGAGAGTCACAGGCACCCAACCCTAGATGCTACCATGAGGCCAGAGCCCAAAAGCACTTGCCCTGGTTCCTACACCTGCCCGTCTGCATGCTCCCCGTCTTATAAAAGGTTTGAGCACATGTGGCAGCAGCCAAACAAATGTGCCACATCGCTGTTGCACGTCCTGCAAGGAGGGGTCAGGGAACTCTCCAGTTTCAGCTATGTATCTTAATTAGGCCAATGCAATATGAGCAGAAGCAACAACGTGACAGTTCTGCAGAAGTTGCAAGTGTCTGCATGTGCCTGCCATCTCTTGCCCCATTCCCTCTGTCATAAGAACGGCATGCCCAAATAGGGGCTGTTCTTTCAGCCTGGGACTTGGAATGAGAAGTGGAAACAGAGCTAGAGCAGGGTCACAGCAGCCCACCTGTAGCTGTCAGAAGTAACAGGAGCAAGAAAGAAACGTTTGAAGCTACAAACTTCTACAATATAGGGGTTGTTTGTTTCTAGAAAAAAGTCTAGATACAAGGTCACTAATACAAGCAGTGACCAACAGAAGAAACAACTAAAAATTTGAAAATGTTTGCCTATAGAAATAACTAGAAGACAATTTTTCCTTTAATGTGTGTCTTATCACCTTTTGATTTTTTGAAACCAGGTAGGTGTATTACTTTGACTAAAATTTCTAATTTAATTTTTTAAAAAGATACCTTCCTTTAGAAACTTATAAATTAGCATTACGGTTTACATTAAGTGTCTTGTGAGTATAAGTCTAATTTCCTGAGCAACAAAAGTGAGGTTCCCATCCAAGTAATAATGAAACTATAATAAAGATATGCTTTAGCCAAATAATCTAACCTACCTAAACTCCAGACTTTGTAGTACAGGTTAAAATGTAACTGAATATAATACATGAAATAGGCACAAATACCCAGACATTATCCAGGCAGACTTCGTCCTGCCAGCTGTGCTTGCCTTATTTCACCTCTTCCCTTCTCTCTCTGCTCCAGCTACTCTAGTATTATTCAGTTCCTTGAACACTTCATGGTTCATTTTTCCCTTAGCACCTGCTGCTCCCTCCACCTGGAATGTTCTCCATCCTCCTAGTGATTTTCTACATATCCTCCAGATGACAGCGCATCACTTCCTCAGGAACACAATCCCTAACTTCTGCGAGTTCCAATCCCCCTATTGTATGTGCTCATTGCTTCCTATACTTTTCTTTCACATTTCAAAGTTTATTTGGAATAATATATATCATTTGATTAACAAGGGCTTCCCTATTAGACTTAGTCCATGAGGGCAGGGACTAACCTTGTTGTGCTCACCATTGTAGACCCAGCACCTAGCATGGGGCCTCGCTACTTAAAAGCACCAATTATTTTTAAAATGTGTTGCATGCATGAATGAACTAAGAAATTAATGAAAATACTCTGAAATCAAAGTGGAAAATGGGAGGTCACACAGGATTTCTTTCTGGATCAAGAATAAACCCAACTTGAGAAAGAAATGTGCAAAGTGAGAATAATGACCCCTACTCACGCTATGTTTAGAAACCGTGTATTGAGCTTAAAATATAATCCTCCTTCCTACAGACAGAATATTGAATAGCCCCAGGGACCTGAAAGATATTTTAAATTTTGGATCTATTATTTGAAAGAACACATAAAACAACAACTGTTGTTTCCTTCATAATGAATTAATGAGCCGTATTATTAGATTCAAATGATCATTGACTTATGTGATTTCTAAGATCTAAAGCTTCTGAAGCTAAAATTAAGCCCATTAACTTTGTCTTAAAAACAGAACTGGGATTTTTCTAATTCTTAGTGTACATTTTACTGGTGTAATACACAAATCAGGCATTTCTGTGTAACCCAGGTGTGGAACCAGGACTAGGCTTTAACCACCTAAAGGATATAAGTCACTTACTATTCAAAAGTGAACCTGAAGGAAAGCACCAATAGACTCAGAAACAATGGAAGAAAAAAAGTGTTAATGTCTATATGTAAAGATTTTATCAGTTTTGGACTAAGGAGTCTTTAACCCGAGTTCTGCCAGACTCTCCTGCTTGCTGCTGTCCGCTGTGTTCACACTAAATTCCCTGATGCATTTGTTGAGAAGGCACACAATGAGTCAGTGAGAGACATGACATACCTTAATTGCTATTCAGATTTTGAATATTCTTTTTTATAGAAAAAGCTGTAAATGTTCCTTAAATGATGTATAAAGAAGCCAAAAGGACAACAGAAATAGAAACAGGAATTTAATTGCCATCTCTTAACAGTTAAAACGATTTAACACCTTTTCTTTGAAGGACAGGATATATATTTCTGAAGTTTTCTATTTTTTTCTTACTCTTTTCTCACATAATAATGGCAGGAGATACTGTGGAATTAACATTTCCTTGTAAGTATGAAAGAAATCTGAACACTGATTTGAGGAGTCATTTTCTCATAGATAAATACTTTGATACATACTACAAAAGTTTCTTGGATATTTTGAACAAATAACCCTTGTCTCTTACAAAAAAGCTTATATTTTTACCTCAAGCATAAACTCTGTTCAATAATTTTTGTAGCTACCTGTATGATCTAGCATATCCATTTTGAATCACAAACAAATGTAGATATGAAACAACATAAAGAAATCACAGAGCCACCTAATTTCATACTTGCACTTAAGTTCACAAATACATTGCTTTAAAAGATGTGCAGTTACTCACCTTACATTCTTCCTGGCAAATATATGGTCCAAGGTTAGTGAAAATCCTATACATAAAAAAATCAGTGAAAAACTAAACAAGATTTTTTTTCCCATCAGAAAACAATCAGTTTCTTCAAAGCAAGAACATCTGTTAATTCATAAATGCAAACAGAGCAAACGCAGTACTTTTCATGCCATGTGACTGACAGCATATTCAACCAATAACAGGGCAGCTTTCTCAGAATGTATTCCAAGGTGGGGCGGGAGGGAAGGGAGGGGTCTGATAATGCTTACAGTATAGAGTGAAATAAATATTTAGGTTTTTAATTATTCATCTCATGGAAAGATTATTAAGGAGCCAATTTTTAAAGAAAATATATTTACCACTTAAGCTCATTTTAGAAATTTGCATTGTTTTGATACTGTCATATAACTCTTAAGACTTTATGTTATATACTTCATACTACATATATGTCATACTATTATATATTTCATATTACACTTCAGGAAGCTATTAATTTCTCCCCAAAATCTATGAAGTATATATTTTTATATGTATTTTTCAGGTGAATAAATAAATAAAAATCTTCGGAACTTCCCTAAATTCACATGTATGTCCTAGTTCACAGTTTCCTGATGAATTCATAAGCCTCCATTTGCCAAGAGGTGTGGACAGCAACGGTGAGGAGCACAGGAGCACCGGCTTTGGAATCAGAAGCTCCTTACCAGGGAGCAAGCTGACACCAGGCAGGTGATTTTCCCTCTGAAGGCTTGTTTCCTCATCTGCGGAGTAGGGACAGACACACTTAATTGTTGTGGAGATTAAATGGGATCATGGATAAAAGGTTTTTTTTGTGGTTTTTTGGTTGGTTTTTTTTTTTTTTTTCTGTCAGAGTCTCCCTCTGTCAGGCTGGAGTGCAATGGCGCGATCTCGGCTCACTGCAACCTCAATGTCCTGAGTTCAAGTGATTCTCCTGCCTCAACCTCCCGAGTAGCTGGGATTACAGGCATGCACCACCACGCCCAGCTAATTTTTGTATTTTTAGTAGAGGCGGGGTTTCGCCATGTTGGCCAGGCTGGTCTCGTGCTATTGACCTCAGGTGATGTGCCCGCCTCGGCTCCCCAGAGTGCTGGGATTACAGGCGTGAGCCACCGTGCCAGGCCATGAAAGGCTCTTCTTAACTCAACGCTTAGCTAAGTAGAGTGTCTATTGTTATTCCTTCCCTGCTGGCCTCTCCTGTCACCTCACTCCCCTAAAAGCCTGAAAAACAAAACAAACCACAAAATTCCTAAGAGTTGTTTTACATTTTTTTAAAGTACAATTAAAATGCCACAATAAAGAAAATCCTCCAAAATTAAAGTGTCAAGTGTCACCATTTGGGGCACTTAGGAACGTTGATGGCTTAAAGACAAAGTACTGGGAGCGGAAAAGGGCTATTTGTAAGTGAAATTTCAGAGATGATGGACTATAGGAAAGCTGGGGTCTTCGCGTGAGGAGACATTCCTATTCCTCTCACACACCACTTTCTCCCAACATAGTTCAGGGGACCCCAGTAGAAAATCAGAAGAGGAGAATAAAGCAGAATGACTAGGGGAAGTGGGAGAATGCCGGAATAAGGAAGAAAGCTGCTAACAAAAATTACAAAATCAAAAGGGTCGCTGGCCTTAAACGTGGCCTTTCCGTGCCCCATCTAATTCCTACTGCCTCCTCATACTGTCTTTTCTTCTGTTTTCATTTCACCCAGCTTCTACGCTTCACTACTCCTTTTCTCATTCTGTTCTTTACCTGATTCTGTGGAATTTCATGTAACAAGCAGGTCTGGATAAAAGAAGTTAGTTTTAGGTAATGTTGACAGATAGCCTATAGGATAACCTGTTAAAGCTGAATGTCCAAAAAAAAAAAAAAAAATGATTTTAATATAAGCATATTCCATGCAATATTTGGGACATACTATATTTAAAACTTATTGTTTATTTGAAAAATTAAGTTTAACTGGGCATCCTACATTTTTAGTTTGCTAAACCAGCCAGTCCTAGTCTTAGGGAAGCTCAGCTACTCAAAGTGTAAAGTGCATACAAATCACATGAGATTCTGTTAAAATGCAAATTTTGACCCAGTAGGTCTGGAGTGGGGTGTAGGATACCACATTCCTAACCAGCTCCCAGATGATGATGATGGTGATGCTGCTTGCCTGAGAACCGCCCTTTGAGAAGCAAGGATCTAGAACAGCATTGTTCAATAGAAATAGAATGAGAGCTACACATGGAATTTAAAATGTTCTAGTCACATTAAAAAGAAGTAAAAATAAACAGATGAAACTAATGTTAACAGTATTTTTATGTAACCTATCTAAAACACTATCATTTCAAACATACTTAATTTTAAGAATTATTAGTGAAACATTTTACATTTTTTCTGCCCTAAATCTGAACTCTAGTGTATAATTTTTAAAATTTATTTATTTCTATATTTTGTAGAGATGGGGGTCTTGATATGTTACCCAGGCTGGTCTCGAACTCCTGGGCTCAAGCAGTCCTCCCACCTCAGCCTCCAAAAGTGCTGGAATTACAGGCGTTAGCCACCGTGCTACTTATATCTCAATTCCAATAAGCAAAATTTCAAGCGTTCAGTGGACACTTGTGGCTAGCGCCCACTGTACTGGACAGTGCAGATACAGAACATCTCCTGCAGCTGCCAGAGAAGTACCTGGTATTCTCCCATGGGAGCAGTGGCAGTGCCTACTCCTCAAGGCCCTGGTCAGGAGAAAGTGAGAGCCCAAGCCAATGATGATCCTGCATTGTGACAATGATGGTTCTGTGAACCCTGAGAAAGGAGAGTGTTAGTCCCTTAGTGGTTATCACATAAGAATCTTTCGGCCAGGCATGGTGGCCCATGCCTGTAATCCCAGCATTTAGGAGGCCAAGGCGGGCGGATCACGAGGACAGGAGCTCGAGACCAGCCTGGCGGACATGGTGAAACCCCATCTCTACTAAAAATACAAAAAAGTAGCCGGGCATGGTAGCAGGTGCCTGTAATCCCAGCTATTAGGGAGGCTGAGGGAGGAGAATTGCTTGAACCCAGGAGGCGGAGGTTGCAGTGAGTCAAGACCATGCCACAGCACTCCAGCCTGGAAAACAGAGCAAGATTCCATCTCAAAAAAAAAAAAAAAAGAATCTTTCATGGAAATATGCTTGGGTTTACATTTTCAGACATACACACAATATTTTTAATTTAAAGTATCGTTTTAATAGATTTTATGTCCTGATCCAAAAATTTTAACATAGTATTCTTTCTGTTGTTGAAACATTCTCCCACTTGGTTAAGAACATTCAAGGCATAATAATTAGTAGCTAGTAGGTTTCACACATGTATTTTAGACTAGAAGTCACACTTAAGATGTGATTGTCTGAGAACAGCTCATCTTGTGACTTTGGAGGAGAAAAACAGTGACAAGAAATGCTAATTGCACATCTTAGAGGCTGCAAAGCACTAGGGTGTCACCTGCCTGGCATCGTACCTTCCCGCTCGGACTGCTGAGGAACCTCTGTGAAGAACTGTGAAGGGTCTGAGATTTTACTCACTTCGAAGCTAACTAGTTAGTCTGACAGTTTTATGAATACTGACAGAAGACACAGACTCCTGGGTCAGAGAAAAGGACTTTATTACTCACCGCACAGCAAGTGGCACAAGCATCAGTATATCTGGTCGGTTCCCCTTCCCCTTGGAGTAATGTAGGTAGGCCCAGATGAATAATTGCACACACAGTGGGCTTCATTTCAGGAGAGAAACCCTGAGCTTAAGGAGCCCCAGTTTTTTTATAGTGGGTAGTAAACCTATCTGCCCTTTGCTCTGAGGGGAAACGCTACCTCTACTTTCCAATGCTATAAGCAAGTCTGTCCTTTGCTACAAAGGGGACATGATTTCTACCGTTCAAGGCTTCTCCCCATACAAACATCCTAGAAAAGGTATTCAGAACAAAGACTAGTTAGGGACTAGCTCACAACACATGCAGAAAATGCAGAGGCACATGGCATTTCCCCTCCACCGTCTCCACAGGAGAACAGGAAACTGTATAGCCATGCTACCTTCTTTACAACTGGAAACAACTTGGGTTTGCTTTATTTTTTGATTTACTATATATAACTAAATGATATGTTACCTGAATATTTGAATATCAAAAATCTCTCTTCCCATAATCATATATGACCATATAGAATTGTGTTCCCACAGGAACAAAAATGGATCTAACTTAAGAATTCTAATATTTACCTTGAGAAGACTAATGGGTGCACAGTCTCTATTCATTCAATGCTCTCAGACCAAAAGTTGCATAAATGTTTATATCATTTATAATGTCTTTGCACAGTGATTCAAAATCCGAATCCATGTACCTCCTACAAAGCCCGGCGTGGCCTGGGCCCTGCTGGTCTCTCTTGCCTCATTTAACACCAGCTCCTCCTCCTGAACATGTTCCAGGCACACTGGCTCACACTCAGCTTCTCAGCACCCTCAACATGCCAAGCTCCTTTGCACCCAAGTGACCTTGCACATACTGTTCTCTCTGTGAAGTCACCTCACACCTCTCTACCTCTCCCTGTATCTTATTCACTTTCATCATAAATATCACAATTTGCACTGAGAGATTTATTTTCTTGTGTACTTACTGATGCTGTTTCTTCATCACACGGTACACTCCTTGAGGGCAGATACTATGTCTATTTGACTGATATATACCTGGAGCCCAACTTAGTACTCAGTAAAATACACAGAATGAATGAATGATCCTATCGAAAAATGCCACAGAATTAATTCCCACTTTGTGCCACATGGTTATGACTCCCAAGGCCTGAGTCTTTAGGCAACTATAATGGGAAAATCAATTAATTCAAGTATTCCATAGAATTCTGCCACTTGAAAATGGGAACAGACAAAATCCAGGTTACATCAGTTCACTAACACCCTCCATGCCCCAAGGAGCAGGAGGTACTATATAACTCTTTATCAAGTTCAGAGCAAAATTGCTGCCGTGATTTCTACCAATTTTCATCAAATTAACTTCTGCAT